TGTTGCAAGATTGAAATAAGATTATGTACATGTCAAAAGACAAAATTACAGCAAATTTAAAGATCTCAGCTGGTTTTATTTGTGATTGTAGAGTTGAACAACACTTCTTTTTGTAAAACAGAGTAAGTGTTCCCAGGAGCTGAGCAGGGGCTGGCTTACAGACAGGAAAGGTGAAGAAAGCAGAGGCAAAGAACAATGTGTATTAGGCATTTCAAAGTTGCCTTCCTGTGAGGTGGAGACAGAACAATAGAAAAATTAGTTAACGCAGGGCGTGGTGGCTCACACCTGTAATCCCAACACTTTGGGAGGCCGAGGCGGGTGAATCACGAGGTCAAGAGATCGAGACCATCCTGGTCAACATGGTGAAACCCCGTCTCTACTAAAAATACAAAAATTAGCTGGGCATGGTGGCGCATGCCTGTAATCCCAGCTACTCAGGAGGCTGAAGCAGGAGAATTGCCTGAACCCAGGAGGCGGAGGTTGCGGTGAGCCGAGATCGCGCCATTGCACTCTGGCCTGGGTAACAAGAGCGAAACTCCGTCTCAAAAGAAAAAAAAAAGAAAAATTAGTTAACATCAGGTTACTGCAGGCTACTTCTATTAGGTAGGGATTAAAGCACAGGGCACTTCATTATCCTGGCAATTGAAGATTGCCCTATTTGGAAAATAGGCTGTTATCTCTTTCTTCAGATTTCTAGGAAGGTCAGATAACAACTTAGTTTGGATTTGGTGACATGGACATGGAACTTCAGCGTTTGGTTTTTAGCCTGATCTGCTGGGGCCTAGTGCAGAAACTTAGTCCAAATAATTTTTATTCAGCATGTATAAAATGCTAGGTACATACTAGTTGCTCCCTCTTTTTTTGCTCTGCTTATTTTTTCTTCTTTCTTCCCAATTTCTTCAATATAATAAGTGTTATTTTAAAAAAGCAAAAGATAATGTAAACCTGTAGAAAATTTTTAAAAATATCTGTCTCTTTTCAGTCAATATTTGCAACTCCTACCTCATCAAATATTCTCTCACAGCAGAATAAGGTAGCAAAGAAATGAAATGCAAATTAGCCTAGGGTAGCTGAGTCCTTCTCCTGGTTTCATCATTAATTAGCTCCACAGACCCCGGCAAGCACTTGACCTTTCTGACCCACACTTGTCTGAACAGCACAAGGAAGATCAGACCTGTCTCAGAGGGGTGGTGAGGCTCCCTATCATTATGTAAATGGAAGGCCTTGTCTACAAATAATCTCTTCAGGCAAATTGCATAATTTGACATTAAAATTATCCCTCTCTTTACTGCACTCCCCCATCTTTGGCTCCAGGTTTTAAAGACTGCTATTAAAAGACAAATATGTTAGTATATTAACATATTATCATCTAGCAATACCTTTTTAAAAGTTAATTAATCAAATTAGTCATAGCAGACAGCAGAACCACGATGCTTTGGGCACAGGGAGGTTGGGATTTGAATGGGATGGGAATGGAATCCAGAATACTCTGGCTCTCAGCTCTAGATGCTCTCAAAGAAAACTCCTGAACATAATGTGGGGGAAGAAGGAGGCTCCAGACAAATCCCGCCCTCTTTGCAGTTTTGCTTCAGGCTTGTAATTCACTTTTCCTGAGAATGGCATGGAAATTGTGGATAAGCAGGTGAAAAACCATTCTTACCAAGTGTGGAGGGAAAAGAAAAGGTTTTGTTTGTTTTGAGACAGTCTTGCTTTGTCTCATGTTTGCCCTAGTCGTGCAAACATGACTCACTACAGCCTCAGTCTCCTGGGCTCAGGTGATTCTCACCTCGGCCTCTCAGAGTACCTGGGACCCCAGGTGCACGCTACAACACCCAGCTAATTTTTTAATTTTGTAGAGGTAGGATCTTGATGTATTGCCCAGGACAGTCTCAAACTCCTGAGCTCAATCTGCCTTCCTAGGCCTTCCAAAGTATTGGGATTATAGGTACGAGCCACTGAAGAAAGATACATTTTTAATCTGAGAAATACAAACTCCTTTACATTATCAGGCCCAGAGAGGCATTAGGATGTAAAGGCAGTCACTGTCTCACTCCTTCTCTAGCTAAATAATGATCTCTTAAAGTCTCTTGCTATGCAGGCTCTAGACTAACTAATGCCAATTAGCCAAAAAAAATGCCATACACCCTATATTTCAACAAAGTCTAGCCAATCACTAACCAATGTTATTTCTGTAAACCAATGAGAATTCTGATGAATGACTTTTGTAATTGCCCCCCTCCTGATTCATCTTTTATTCTTTAAACACCTGAGCCTCTCTTTTTGTTCTTGGGAACACTCCCCAAAGCAACTTGAAAGTGTGTCCCAGGCTGCAGATCTCAATCTTGACCCCAGTAAACTCTCTATATTAATTTTGCCTCAGCTTCTTCCTTTTAGGTGGACACAAGTGTTAATTGGCAAGCAAAAAAAAAGAAGAATAAAGAAAAGAAAAAGGAAATTAACTCTTTTAGAAGTTAGGCTGGGCACGGTGGCTCACACCTGTAATCCCAGCACTTTGAGAATTGAGGCAGATAGATAACCTGAGGTCAGGGGCTTGAGACCAGCCTGGCCAACATGGTGAAACCCCATCTCTTTTTTTTTTTTTTTTTGAGTCGGAGTTTCGTTCTTGTTACCCAGGCTGGAGTGCAATGGCGCAATCTCGGTTCACCGCAACCTCTGCCTCCTGGGTTCAAGCAATTCTCCTGTCTCAGCCTCCCGAGCAGCTGGGATTACAGGCACGCACCACCATGCCCAGCTAATTTTTGTGTTTTTAGTAGAGACGGGGTTTCACCTTGTTGACCAAGATGGTCTTGATATCTTGATCTCGTGATCCACCCCCGCTTGGCCTCCCAAAGTGCTGGGATTATAGGCGTGAGCCACTGCGCCTGGCCTTAAATTTTTTAAATTGCCAAATAAAAATTGTATATATTTATGGTGTCCCACATGATATTTGATATACATCCACATTGTGGAATGGCTAAATCAATCCAATTAACATGTACATTACCTCACATTTCTTTTGTGTGTGTGGTGAGAACACTTAAAATCTACTCTCCTAGCAATTTTCTAGTATACAATACATTGTTGTTAAACTACAGTGTCCATGGATCTCTTGAACTTTGCCTGTGGCAGGAGCCACCACACCCTGCCTCCTCTTTCTCTTTTGTGTTTCTTTCTTGTTTTTCCTTCTTTTGAGACAGGGTCTCACTCTGTCGCCCAGGCTTGGAGTGCAGTGGCGCGATCTCGGCTCACTGCAACCTCCATCTTCTGGGTTTGTGATTCTCCTGCCCCAGCCTCCTGAGTAGTGGGGGTTATGGGTTAGCCACCACGCCTGGCCTCCCTTTTGTGTCTCTTTTACTCTTCCTTGACCTCCTGCCCCTAATCCTGTCCCTCCCTCTGTGTGCTCTTAGAAAATGACATCTGATCACCCAAGCTACAAGTCCTGCATGCTCAGCATTGCTGCCAAGTGGGGTCTTCCTAAAATGCAGATCTGCTCGAGTCATTCTCCTGCTTAAAATTTCTGCATTCCCTGGATCTTTGGGGAGAAAGATAGCTTGGTATTCTTTTTTTTTTTTTTTTTTTTTTGATAGAGAGTCTTGCTCTGTCTCCCAGGCTGGAATGTAGTGGCACAATATCAGCTCACTGCAACCTCTGCCTTCTGGGTTAAAGTGATTCTCCTGCCTCAGCCTCCCAAGAAGCTGGTATTACAGGTGCCCACCACCATGCCTGGATAATTTTTGTATTTTTAGTAGAGACGGGGTTTTGCCATGTTGGCCAGGCTGATCTCGAAACTCCTGATTTCAAGGTAATTCGCCTGCCTTGACCTCCCAAAATGCTGGGATTACAGATGTGAGCCACTGTCCCTGGCCCCAGGCCCTTCATTTTCTGACACTGCCACATTCTCCTTCCTTCCAGCCTCCCACACTGCTGGCAGGGCCAAGGGAGTTTCATGCCCTTTTACCTTCCATATCTTATGCCCTATATCTGATCCCCCTGCTCCCCTTCATCTCACCAACTTTTATTCATCTAGAGTCTTACCTTCTGGGAAGCCTTGTCTATTCTTTTCTTAGTCTGATTAGACATCCTTTCTCTGTGTCCCTAGCAGACTCTGTTCATACTTTGTGGCATTTGCTAGATTACATTGCAATAACAAATTCCAGTCTGCTTCTCCATCTTTAGTTTTTCTCAACATGTGATTTGTGGACTCCTTGTTTCAGAATCGGAGAGTTTAAACACAAGCTCCTGGGACGTACCCCAGTCCCACCAACTCCGAATCTTTGCAGGGCAGAGCCTAGGAGACTGCATTTAAAAAATTTCTCAGCCAGGGGTGATGGCTCAAGCCTGCAATTCCAGCACTTTGGGAGGCCAATGCGGGCAGATTGCTTGAGCCCAGGGGTTCAATACCAGCATGGGCAACATGATGAAACCCCGTCTCCACAAAACAACAACAACAAAAACAAAAATTAGCGAGGCATGGTGGCTCACGCTTGTGGTTCCAGCTACCCAGAAGGTTGAGGCAGGAGAATTACCTGAGCCCACGAGGTTGAGGCTGCAGTGAACTGAGACTGCACCACTGTACCCCAGCCTAGGTGACTAAGAGAAGTCAAGTTTAAGAGCCACTGCACTAGACATGAAGTAGTCATATTTTCTTAGACCTTTAGCATCTACTATAAGCACACAGAGAATGGATTCTGAATGAAAGAGTCTAGAGCTTGAAAGGGAACTGAAATTTAAAAATAAAAATTAAAACGTGTGAAATGAGCAGCATAACGTTGGACTAGAAGGCGAGTATATCCTGTTGAGATTCCAGTTGCCAGCAGGCGGCGCTGTGTCAATACAAATGCCTTCACCTGAAGGGCGGAAGAAGACGAAGTTTGGTTGATTTACTGGAATTCAAGCCTCAAAAACTGCGTAAATGGATTTATGTTTTCTTACTCAGTTTGTCTGCATTGTCCTACTTGTATGAATACATTGATTTTTTTTTTTTTTTTTTTTTCATCTAGCCCAGGACAAAGCTGCGTACATTGATTTCTGAAGGCATGAAGTTTTAGACAAGAAAAGCCGTGAAAGGAGGCTGTTGGCAGCGGGTTGCTGGGCAGGTAACGAAGTAGAGGGGAAGGAAATTAGCAATTACCCTTATTTCCATCCTCATGAGGGAAAGGTGCTCCCTGCCAGCACTGCCTGTTGTGAATTACCCAGGCATTCAAATGAATGTGTCATTTCAGCGAGAGGGTGGAGCCATCCTGTAATTTCTGTTAGTCATCCAGTTTCCTTTACGTGTTGTCGAATGCCTACGTGAGTAGCCTTTGAATGTCGTTTCTCTCCCGAACCAAGGTCTGAAAGCCCGAATCTTTCTTCTGGGCTGAGTACTTTATTCTCCTGAGATGTGGGAAGTAGGCCCAGCAAAAGCCTTGGGCCCCACCGACAGCTCCTCCTCCCCGACCTGCCTCCCGCTCTGCACCAGGGCTTCCCTGTGCTCAGAACTGATAGAGCTGGCCTCGCCTCTAGGCAAAACAATCAGGCCAGGCCAGAGCTGGAGGCTAAGCGGGTTTCCTCCCGACAGAACAGAGCTTTCAGCCAGAGACCTTCAAGGGGGGAGGCAGGAGGAGGGTTTGCAGCTTTCCCAGCTCTGGGCAAACAGTGGTGGAGAGGAAGAAGGGGGAGGAGGCAGGACCGCTACTCTCCACATAGACCCAGTGTCACTGAAGGGGCGCTCTTTAAAGGCGTCACACAATTTAAGAACAGTGCATGGAGGAAATAACCATTAAGTTCTGAATGTCCAAGTATAAATGAAATGGAAGTGCTTAAAAGTAATAAGAAAGAAGCTGCAGTTCCTCTTTTCCTTCCTTGAAAAATCAAATGCAAAAGTCATCAGGTGCGGGGTCAAGCAAGGTAGGCAGCTATAAGTGGGGTGGAGGTGAGCTGTGGTGGTCAGAACCTGACCACGATTGCATTCAGGGGCAGGCCAGGCCAGGCTGTCAGAGCTCAAGTTACGGTGAGGGGTGTCCCGGCAGAGGCAATCTGCCGTGGGGTGTTGGAGTCCCAGTGGGGAGAGAAAGGTATTGCCAAGGCCGTGTATGTAAATGTATAATATTAGGGATAATGAGAGCAAAGTTTCTCGCTGTTAGAGGAGTTAACAAATCATGCCTGTAAATCCCACTACTTTAAGAGACTGAGGCGGAAGGATTGCTTGAGGCCAGGAGTTTGAGACCAGCCTGGTCAACATAGGTTGATCCCGCCTCTACAGATACTGAAAAACAGGATTAGCTGGGCGTGATGGCATGCACCTGTATGCCAACTCAAGGAAGGAGGCTGAGGTGTGAGGATCACTTGAGCCCAGACTGAGGCCATACTACAGCCTGGGCAACTGAGCAAGACCCCAACTCAAAAAAATAAATTATGGACAGACAGAAAACTAGAATGAAACCTGTGTTGGGTTGGAATGAGAAGTATTGTTATGAATTCATGGTTTTCAATAAACAAATAAGATCCATATTTTATTACATATGTGGAGAAACATAAGTGTACATATATGTATGATTGTGTGTATATGTGTATGTACATCCTTATAGTCCCTACTTCTGTGTCCCGAGAGGGCCTGAGATTGATGATGACCAATACTGGTTTCTATTTATTTTATTTTTAAAAAAATAGAGATGGGTTCTTGCTCTGTTGGCCAAGTTGGTCTTGAACTCGTGGCCTCAAGCAATCCTCCCACCTCAGCCTCCCAAAGTGCTGGGATTATAGGCATAAGCCACTGTGCTTGGTCTCAATCCTGGTTTCTGTTTTTGTGGGTTTTTTGTGTGGGTTTTTCTTTTTCTTTTTCTTTTTTTCTTTTTATTGAGATGGAGTCTCACTCTATCACCCAGGCTGGAGTGCAGTGGCATGATCTTGGCTCACTGCAACCTCCACCTCCCTGGTTCAAGCAATTCTCCTGCCTCAGCCTCCCAAGTAGTTGGGATTACAAGCACCTGCTACCATGTCTGGCTAAGTTTTGTATTTTTAGTAAAGATGGGGTTTTGCCATGTTAGCCAGGCTGGTCTCGAACTCCTGACTTTAGTCCACCTGTCTTGGCCTCTCAAAGTGCTGCAGTTTCAGGCATGAACCACCATGCCTGGCTTCAATCCTGGTTTCTAAATATCATTCTTCACTTACAGGAACCAAGATCCCTTAAGAGAAATGGTTGATTCTAAGGGTTAATAAAGAAAAAGTAAAAGATGAGTCTGGGATAGCTTCTGGTGCCAGAAAGTAAGAAAGTGCCCAAAGAAGGACACTGTAACCAGTTTGAAATGTCCTGCTGGCCAAATCTGAGACAATCTGAACATCAAACTTAATAATGATGGTAATATAACCCACTGATAGTAATATACCCATTGGATACTTTATAATTCATGAGTCCCTATTGATGTACAGTGATAAGATTAATTTTAAAGAGGAATGGAAATGTACACATTCTAAGTTCTTCCCTACAAAACATTTATTTGTTACAATAGGAAAAAGAATAACTTCACAGCCAGGAAGCACAGAGGATGCCACCTTAATGAAATGATTGAAGTTAACATCATTAATAATAGAACATATTGAAGTGTGGATCCAATGAGAAGAACACATGACTTCTTTTGTATTTCTGTCAAAGATACATAACCCGAATCTAATCATTAGAAAACATGGACAGACCCAAGTTGAGACACATTTTGTAAAACAATTAGTCTGTAACTGCAAAAGAGTCAAAAAAGTCACAAGAGTCAAGAAAAAACAGGAACTTTTCCCAGTTGAGGGAGACTAAAAGAGCTGTGACAAGTAAATGCAACACATGATTCTGAACTGCACTCAGTTGCTATAAGACACTACTGGGACAGTTAGTGAACCTGAATGAGTGTGAGAATTATACGGTAACAATGCATCAGTGCTACTTTCCTGATTTTGGTAGGAAGAGTGTCCTTGTTTATAAGAAAATGCTGAAGTATTTGGGGGCCACAGACACCATGTTGGCAACTTAATCTCTAAGAGATGAGGAGAAAACAGTTTTTGTTCTAATGTTTCAAATTTTCTATAAATCAGATGTTGTTTGGAATAAAAATATACTGTTAAAAAAATTAAGAGAAAGGTTAGGCCGTTGGTGGGATGGGCATCAAAGTAGCATGGAGAGGTGAGACTTGAGTTTGCCAGAAAGGAGCAGAAGCATATTCAGTGTTGGGGGAGCACCCTGGGCAGAGCAGAAGCATTTCCGGTGTGGGGGAGCACCCTGGGCAGAGCAGAAGCATTTCCGGTGTGGGGGGAGCACCCTGGGAAGAGCAGAAGCATTTCCGGTGTGGGGGAGCACCCTGGGAAGAGCAGAAGCATTTCTGGTGTAGGGGGAGCACCCTGGGCAGAAGCCCCACCATCGGAAGAAAAATGGCAGGAATTGGGAGGAAAGTTACCCCTGCTCACCTGGCACAAAGGTTTGTATTAGAAAGAGGGTAGCCATGTAATTTATCATGCAATGTGTGTACTTTTGAGAATGAAAGAGAGCACTGTTAATAATTACATTTGGTCTTCAGCGTGACCTCTTAAGGAAAAACAAAAAATATGTAAAGAGAAAAAAACAAACTGCTTTTAAAAATTCTATTTTGACATGAGCACAACATGACTATTTGGAAAACTGCCCTCAGCAAACTGGGATATGTGACCCCAGCTAGAATTCAACAAGAGATCAGGAAATTTAGGGGAAATGGAACCAAATTGTAGAGGTTTGAAATGAAAATGGTCTTGCCTTCTGATCAGTAGTATATAAATAAAATAAAATAAAAATGGTCAAATGTCTTGAGCTTTTCTATGTTCTCCTCTTTACTCGGCCTCACGGTGGCATTTGGTACAATCATTTTCTACGTACTCTCTTCCTGTCTTTGGTGACCCCATATTCTCCTGGTTTTCCTCCCCTTACCCCGGCACTGTTCAGTTTTCTTCACCTATCTGTATCCATCTTCTGCTATTCAATCTCAGATGGTTTAGTTCTTCAGGGATCCATTCTGGATGCTCTTCTCTTTTGTCTCTATAATCTTTACCTGTTGGTTTTAAAAAATTATTTTTATCTTTTTATATTACATTTACTGGTTTGATTTTTTTTAACCAAGAGAACTGGCTCTGATCATTTGTTTAATTAATTAACTGATTAATTTATAGAGACTGGGTTTCCCCATCTTGCTCGGGTTGGTCTTGAACTCCTGGGCTCAAGCAGTCCTCCTGTCTTGGCCTCCCAAAGTACTGGGATTACAGGTGCGAGTCACCATACCTGGCCCTACTACCCTTTGGTTTAATGTTCTGTGCTGATTCCCAAATATGTGTCCCCAAACTCTCTCCCATCTGACCTCCTAGCTTCAACATTTTACTGCCTACTTGACAGTGACATTGGAGGACTCATAGGTTTCTCAAGTTAATGTATCAAAACTAGAGCTAGTGAGTTATTGGAGTAGCTGGGGTAGGGCACCACCCACTATCTAGTCCCTCTGCAGTTCTGCAGTGGGCCTAATACTCTTTCCTCTTGGGCCTTAATATACTCGCATCTCAGTTAGAGGGTGTTGAGGTAGTTTGTCTGCCTCCTCAGGTATGATGGTTAATTTTATGTGTCAACTTGACTGGGCCATGGGATGCCCAGCTATTTGGACAAATATTATCCTGAATGTTTTGTGTTTTGTATTAGATTAACATTTACATTGGTAGACTGAATAAAATAGATTGCTCATTCTAACACTGGTGGGTCTCATCCAATCAGTTGATGGCATGAATAGAACCAAAGGCTGACCTTCTTCCAAGTAAGGGGATTCCTTTTTCTGTCTGCCTTCAAACTAGAACGTTAGCTTTTTCCTGCCTTGGATTCAAACTGGAGCATTTGTTCTTCCTGGGAAGTGAGCCTGCCAGCCTTCAATCAGGGCACCATATCCATCAGCTCTCCTGGTTGTCAGGCCTTAGGACTCAGATTAGAATTAACCATTTGCTCTTCTGGATCTCCAGCTTGCTGACTCAGCCTCCAGATATTGAGACTTGCCAGCCTCCATAATTGCATGAGCCAATTTCTTATGATACATCAGATATATTATATATATCATTACTATACAAATAATAAACATGTATATTATAATCTCACACACACACCCTGTTGGCTCTTTTTCTGGAGGACCCTGACTGATATACTCAGGTTTCTGGTCACAGCAGGGAGCACGATCTTGCCAGAGTCTTGTCAGGGACGCACAGGTCACTGATGAAGGCTGATTCTCCTTCTAGTATGGCAGACCTGCTCTAGAAGGTGCTGGTCAAGCAGTGGTAGTCAAGTCCCAGATCATCCCAGGGATTATTTTACACTTGGCAGTAACTCTTTGATATTCACAGAATTGGCCTGTGAGGATGGGGCGACTCAGAGGAGGTCAAGAAGCAAGCTGTCCCAGTGATGACTGAGGTAAGGAGTCCAAAGACCGAAGGGTTCATCTTGGGTGGAGTTGGAAGTGTGGTTGCAACAAGAGTGGTGTTGGGGCTTGGTAACCTGGTCCCAGTCACAGTAGCAGTCAAGAGCATTCTCCCAGGTACCTCCTGTAAGCAGTTTGGTTGTATTCCTGATGAAGGGTCAGCCCACAGCTACCTCTGAATGGTGTCAGTGGCTAGGGTGCAAAGTACAAAGTAGGAATGCCTCAGGTGGTAGATGTTCCTGTCTTTGTCCACTGTCTCCTGTCCCAACCCAAGAGAAAGGGCTACTCTCGTCTCTCTAAGGGATCTGTCTCTGTAAACAGGGGAGCTGAGCTGTCTCTCCTAGCTGCAGACAGCTCTGATATTCTTTGGCTGGACTGAGCCCTTGGCCTCAAAGAATGAGTTTTGCATGATCTGGGCAGCCTGAGTGATAATGGCAGCAGCACAGAGATTAATCTCTCTGTCTAGGAAGTTGAGAGCCTCACCATGGTAGCTGAGGTAAGAATGGCCAGCCTGGGATAGGTTCCAGGGGCCACGAAACACATCACAGTCAGGGAGGCAGACCTGCTTCAGCTTGTCCAGGGAGGGCCACCTGGCGGGGTGGGGGGGAAGCCGTCCGGCCAGAGGCCCTATTCCCATTGGCAGGCCCTGGCCAAGAACACTAGACAGGACAGGATGCCAGGACTCAGCCTCAAGGTGGCTGTGGACCAGGGAGGGGCTGACTTTGCCTCTCTCTGCTCTCAGCAGAAAGAGCAACTCCTCCAGATCTGAGGCAGACCCATCTCTTCCTGTTCAACATAGCATTGGGTGGAGACAGGTATAGCAATGCTTCCTTTTGGATGAAATTGCTTCCAAGGGACTTTTTATAAGGAATCCCATCCTTAGAACCATGGAAGATAGGGGCTCCCCTCTTTCTCTTCCACAGGCAGTCACTAGAGAGGGTGGCCTTGCTAAGCCAGGGGATCTTCAGGAGAAATTCCCTTTTCTCTGTCCCTCCTGCTCAATCATCTCGGGAGGTATTTTGGTCACACCTCTTTCTGCTCTGGAGGGTTGGAACCTCCTGTAAGGTGGCAGAAGACAAATTCAATAGGCCAAGGTCAAAGTTGCTGTAAATGGGGTCCCCAGCAGGGATAGGGATCAACCACTGGCTGCTCAGAGGGTTGGATTCCTTCTGGGAGAGCTGGGCTCAAGGGGAGGGACCACATGGAACATGCTTCTAGTGGCTGCTGCTATTGTTGTGATGCCAGGACTGGTTCTGCTCCTTATATGCTTGGTTATATCCAAAAATGGAGCCCTTGATTTGATTTTTTTAATTTTTTGTGATGGAGTCTCACTCTGTTGCTCAGGCTAGAGTGCAGTGGTACAATCTTGGCTCACTGCAACCTCCGCCTCCAATCTCTGCCTCTTGCTGGGGCAGGAGAATCACTGAGGTCCGGATTTAAGCAATTCTCCTGCCTCAGCCTTCCAAGTTGCTGGATCTACATGTGTGCACCACCACACCTGGCTAATTTTCGTATTTTTAGTAGAGATGTGGTTTTACAATGTTTGCCAGGCTGATCTCGAACTCCTGACCTCAGGTGATCTGCCCACCTCAGCCTCCCAAAGTGTTGGGATTACAGGCGTGAGACACAGTGCCCTGTACAGTCCTTGATTGTAATCCCAAATACCCTCTTCTATTATATTTCTCATCTCAGTAATTAGCACCACCATCTATCCAATTGTTCAAAGCAGAAAGCTGGACATGAAATCTTTGATTCGGCTTTTTCTCTTACCACCCTCTTGTTTCAGATGCATGAGCTAGTCCTATCATCTCTACTTCTTAACTACATCTCTAATATGACCATGTCTCTTCTCCATTGCTATCATCATGGTCCAGGCCACTGTCATCTGCTGCTCAGACACAGACAATGGTAGCATTCTGTTTATTGTTCTCCCCACATCCTCTTTCAACTCCCTCGAATCTGCACCTCATGCAGCAGCCAGAGTAGATAGACTGTCTCCGTGATTCTTGGGCACAGAGCTCTGTTGATGTCCTTCAGAGCACTTGCCACAAGTTAAACATTTATTTTGTTGTTCTTGTTGTTGCTCATTTTTTTTGATCTGTCTCCCTGACTAGATGTATAGCACCATGAGGCAGAGAATCTTGTCTGTCAAGGTCACCATTGTATCCTTCCTGCCCAGCACAGTGCTTGGCACAGAGTAGTTAAATCAGTGGTTTTTGGGTGAATAACATTAGGCCAAAGAGTTTTGATTCTAGTCAGAAAGCAGTTTGGTGCTAACACATATTGTAAGAACAAAAGGACTGAAAATATAAGGATGCTTTCGGAAGAATAATGAAGGCAGCTGGATGGAGATTAATTCCCGTTCTCCTTTATGAATAGCTTCCCAGTTGATAAGGCCTAAGGCTGTGGCATGAAATTTCAAAGGGAGGGCTCGAATCCTATAGAAATTTTAAAGGAAGAATCAACAGAATTGCTATGTTCTTTGGCTGGGTGTGGTGGCTCACGCCTGTAATCCTAGCACTTTGGGAGGCTGGGGCAGGTAGATCAATTGAGGTCAGGAGTTTGAGATCAGCCTGGCCAACATGGTGAAACCCCATCTCCACTAAAAATACAAAAATTAGTCGGGCATGATGGCACACACCTGTAGCCCCTACTACTCAGGAGGCTGAAGCAAGAGAATCACTTGAACCTGGGAGACGGAAGTTGCAGTGAGATTGCACCATTGCACTCCAGCCTGGGTGACAGAGTGAGACTCTGTCCCCACCTGCCCAAAAAGAATTGCTATCTTCTTTAATATGACTTGTTTATTTATTTATTTGGAGACAAGGTCTTGTTCTGTCACCCAGGCTGGAGTACAATGGCACAATCATAGCTACCTCCAACTCCTGGGCTCAAGTTATCCTTCTGCCTCAGTCTCTTGAGTTGCTGGGACAACAGGTGCACACCACCATTTCCTGCTAATTTTTAATTTTTTTGTAGAGATGGGGTCTTGCTATGTTGCCCAGGCTGGTCTCCAACTCCTGGCTTCAAGTGATCCTCCTGCCTTGGCCTCCCAAAGTGCTGGTATTACAGGTATAAGCCACTATACCAGGCCCTTGAATATGTTGATAAGAGAGACAGGGGCATTGATGTTGTCTGATGGGCCAGAAAAATAGCATTACCTGTCTCTTCCAAAAAAATGGCATGACTGGGAACAACCTCAAATTTGTTGGAAGATGAACTCAGTTTTTAAACATGTTGAGTTTGAAATGACTGTAAATATTTGCTATGGGCCACTGAAAAAAGCCTAGCTAGAAATCCTTTTTGACATTTTGATCAGCTATGAAACAGTCATGGAGTTTATTATTCTTGATTTCCTTGTTGGTAAGGTTAAGAAATTAACATATAATTCTAGCCCGAAGAAGAGTTAAATTTCTGAGAATCTTAAATTGTATTCAACAAAATTTAAGAACACAACCAAAGTAATTTTCAACCTAGTTTAAAAATTTTTTTATTTTTAGAAATGGGGTCTTACAATGTGCCCAGGCTGGAGTGTAGTGGCTGCTCATAGGTATGATCATAGTGCATTACAGCATTGAGTTCCTGGGTTCAAAACCTGTCTCTGCCTCCTGAATAGTTGGTACTGTAGCTTTATGCCACTGTACCTGGCTCCATAATTTGTTTTTACATCAAATGTGATCATTAATAGGTATACCATTATCTATTGAATAATATAAAGAATTTATTATGAGTATTTGCCCTGATTTAGTTTCTACATTTGTATAATCTTCTGTGTTTTCTAGACTTTCTGTGATAATGTAGTATTTTTGTAAATCAGGAGAAAATAGGACACATTTTTCTTAAGAAAAAGAAAATACTGTGTCAATTTCTAAATATCTTTGGGGTAAGCTTTTGCCTTATATACACTAAACATATGTAAGCACAGAAGTTACAAAATGTTCCCAGAAATCCCTGGAAATTTCCCTCTAAGAAGTACACACATGTTGATATTTCCTGGAATTCACTGCATCTGGTTTCTCTTTTCTGGTTTCAGACTGCCTTGGTCCCAAAACTAATTCGGCTGGAATTATACAATAAACCCATTGTTCCAATACTTCTCCCTGAAGGGAATATTCAGAGAATTGTCTTTTATTATTATTATTACAGTTCCAGACCTAACTATTAGCCATTCTTCTTGATGTGCCTTTGATTTCTTTTCTTTTTATTTATTATTATTTTTTTAAGACAGGGTTTCACCATGTTGGTCAGGCTGGTCTTGAACTCCCGACCTCAGGTGATCTGTCCACCTTGGCCTCCAAAGTGCTTGGATTACAGGCGTGAGCCACTACGCCCAGCCCGCTTTGGTTTCTTAGACTTTTTATGATTTTTTAGATTTTTATGGGTTTGCTTTACTATGCTAGGGCTTCTATTTTATCAGCAACCAGTTTGGAAGGTGGTGGAGTTGGGGGCAGGACAAGGTGGGGAGTAGAGAATAATGCATGCCAAATGCAGAGTCTTTTTTTTTTTTTTTGAGACGAAGTTTCGCACTTATTTCCCAGGCTGGAGTGAAATGATGGAATCTCGGCCGACCGCAACCTCCGTCTCCCAGGTTCAAGCAATTCTCTTGCCTCAGTCTTCCAAGTAGCTGGGATTACAGGTGCACACCACCACACCTGTCTACTTTTTGTATTTTTAGTAGAGAAGGGGTTTCCCCATGTTTATCAGGTTGTTCTCGAACTCCGGTCCTCAGGTGATCCGCCCGCCTTGGCCTCCCAAAGTGCTGGGATTACAGGCGTGAGCCACTGCGCCTGGCTGGAAGAGTCTTTTTTATTTGACTGAAGAATGGTCTACCAGACTTACAGGTGGACCCCAGGTCAATGACTGGAAAAGACAGTGGTCTGAATGACATTGAGGAATACTGTACAATGAGAAGGTGGCATATTAGGGCTTTATAGCATGAAGAGTTAAGTTTGCTCCCATAACCAATGCATTGCAATAAGAGGAAGAAAGAAGTCAACTTGCTATACAAAAAAGCATATTTAAGGCCAGGCGCGGTGGCTCACACCTATAATCCCAGCACTTTGGGAGGCCGAGGTGGGTGGATCACGAAGTCAAGAGATCAAGACCATCCTGGTCAACAAGGTGAAACCCCGTCTCTACTAAAAATACAAAAATTAGCTGGGCATGGTGGTGCGTGCCTGTAGTTCCAGCTACTTGGGAGGCTGAGGCAGGAGAATTGCTTGAACCCAGAAGGCGGAGGTTGCGGTGAGCCGAGATCGCGCCATTGCACTCCAGTCTGGGTAACAACAGCAAAACTCCCTCTCAAAAAAAAAAAAGCATATTTAAACAGGGTTGCCAGGAAATGGAGCACAATGCCTCATGTGGCATAAGCTGTCTATCCATGAGGGTTTCCAATAAGACCCTAGAAGACCCCCCTCTGGCTATGGTGTATAGGGGAGCTATGTGTTGAATCAAGTATTAGGCTTGGTCATCTCCAAGATCCCTCAAGCTCTGAACATCTATGATTCCATGAATAATTAACAACTTAATTGCCCTGTAAGCTGATATTAATTCCACAGACCATACATGTTTTTCTCTCAGTACAGAGTAATTATTTGGTACCTCTGTGCTATTTCAAAGATAATACTTTTCCAATGTCTTCAATTGCATTGAAACCTGGGATCTCCATAACATGTAGTCAAATGAAAGACTGCTTTATTAGTCAAATAGGCTAGGTTATGTTACACTAACAAGCAACTCCCAAATTTCAGTAGCTTGAAACAGCCTCGGTTTATTTCTCACTCTGGCTGCTTGTCCATGGGGAGTTGGTTGCTGCAATACAGTGGTTCCTACTCCAAGACCCAGGTTGATGGAGCAGCTAACTGGAAAAATACTGGTTGCTACGACAAAGGAAAATAGGAGATTCAGCATGAAAGTGACACAAGTAACTTCTCACATTTCATTGGCCAAAGCAAAACACATAGTCACAACTAAAATCAGATAGGCAGCATAGTGCATAGGCCTTATTTTATTGGGCAAATAAAAAATTAATATTATACCTAGCATATAATTTATAATTTTTTTTTTTTGAGACGGAGTTTCGCTGTTGTTACCCACGCTGGAGTGCAATGGCGCAATCTCGGCTCACTGCAACCTCCGCCTCCTGGGTTCAGGCAATTCTCCTGCCTCAGCCTCCCGAATAGCCGGGATTACAGGCACGCACCACCATGCCCCGCTAATTTTTTGTATTTTTAGTAGAGACGGGGTTTCACCATGTTGACCAGGATGGTCTTGATCTCTTGACCTCGTGATCCACCCACCTTGGCCTCCCAAAGTGCTGGGATTACAGGCGTGATCACATCTAAAAAATTAGATGTGATCCAGGTATGTTGGCTCACACCTGTAATACCAGCACTTTGGGAGGCCGAGACAGGCGGATCATTTGAGATTAGGAGTTTGAAACCAGCCTGGCCAACATGGTAAAACCACATCTCTACTAAAAATACAAAAAAATTAGCCAGGCATGGTGTCAGGTACCTGTAATCCCAGCTACTTGGGAGGCTGAGGCAGAATTACTTGAACCTGGGAGGCAGAGGTTGCAGTGAGCCAAGATTGCACCACTACACTCCAGCCTGGGCAACAGAGCAAGACTCCATCTCAAAAAAAAGAGGAAAAATTTAGATGTGACTAGAACTTTTGAAATGCTTCATGGGGCTTGAAAACAATTTGGTCTTTGTCCTCATAAGTTGTTTCGGCATTACTGCACTTAGAAGACAAAAGGCTACAGTCCCCAGAGGAAGATGTAGTCGTAATTCAACGTAAGGAAAAGGCACACTTCTGAGATGGACACTAACAAGAATCCATGTATCATAGACTGGGTTGGTTTTATAATACAGAGCTTTGCAAAAGGTATGGATTCCAGATGTGTGGAAATATGAAAGGTCTTCTCTTTGGGGTGGCGAGGCAGATTCTTGGGATGGTCAGACTGCTGTCTTTGGCGATGAGCGTCCTCACCCTTTGACCTCAGAGTGCTTACAAATATTATTATTTTATCTGTGTGGATGAGAAGCACTGGCCAGAGCAATGGTTTCTATGTACTTCAGACTGATGCTAATCTGTGAACAAGTCTTCACTAGCCTAGAGAAAAATGATAAAAATGTGAATATGTAGTGACATTTGCATAAATCGAAATGTATTCAGTTCAGAGAGCTGTACTATATTTTCAATTATGTCCTTTCTTTTTTGAGAGAAAGAGTTTTGGTCAATGATAAATACATAGAAATCTCTTTTATCACTTGTCAGATTAGCAAAAAATGCAAATCTTAAATGATATACTTTTTTAGTGAGACTGTGGAAAAAGAGTCAATTTCCTATGTTGCAGGAAAGAATGCAAAATTATTTGACCCGTATTGTGATGGTTTATTTTATGTGTCAGCTTGACTGGGCCAATGGCCAGGCATGGTGGCTCATGCCTGTAATCCCAGCACTTGGAGATGCTGAGGCAGGTGCAAAGTTTGCAGGTAGGAGAGATCGCACCACTGCACTCCAGACTAGGTGACAGAGCAAGACACTGTCTCAAAAAAAAAGTAAATTAAAGAAACCCTGAACTTGGTAGCAGACAATCCGTGTTTCTCCTAGCAGCCTTGCCCCAACTCCACGGTGACAATTTGTGTGCCCTTATTTCCCTCCAAGTCTGAGAAACAGGGGTCACAGGGAGTTGACGAAGAGGAGGGGTCTCTGACAACACGTGGAGACTCCTCAGCAGCGCCTCCCTCCAGGTCTGCAAGGAACAAATCCAGAACCAAAGACCCCAGGTCCCAGAAGTCAAAGCCAGCGATGAGGCCAGCAGGAGGCAGCCTTTGGCTCTATCTTTAGCCAGATGGGCTGGGTGGGGGCATTGGAATATGGGAGATGTGGGGCACAGGCAGGGTGTGGAGAGAGACTCTTGCTGCTCCAGGCACAGCCAAGCTAGTGCCTTAGTTTCCTTCCCTCAAATCTGCAAAGGGTGAGTTCTCTTCCTTTTTATTTTTTATTTTTTGAGACGGAGTCTCACTCTGTCTCCCAGGCTGAAGTGCAGTGATGCAATCGCAGCTCACTGCAATCTCCGCCTTTCGGGTTCAAGGGATTCTCCTGCCTCAGCCTCCCAAGCAGCTGTGATTACAGGTGCACACCACCACATCTGGCTAATTTTTGTATTTTTAGTAGAGACAGGGTTTCACCATGTTGGCCAGGCTGGTCTCAAACTCCTGATCTCAGGTGACCCACCAGCCTCTGCCTCCCAAAGTGCTGGGATTACAGTCGTGAGCCACACCACACCAGGCCCCACGAAGGGTAAGTCTTCCCTGCCTTCTGAGCTAGACAGCCATGGGAGTATTGGGGCCTGCAGGAAATGCCCCACTCCTGGCTGCTCTCCCTTGATCCCAGAGTTCCGCAATACCGCTGTCCCCCATGGCCTGGCATGCCCACCCTGTTCACCCCTGCCACCTAGTCTGCTGTTCAGGCTGCCATCGCACCTTTCTCTGACCCCCTGGGTGTCCCTGGGGAACTCACACCTCTGTCGGATCCACCATGGTCCTGATGAGCTCACAGAGGGGGCAGGAGAGCACAGAGCAGGTCTGCCGCATCCATAGTCTAAGGTCCATGACCACCTGTGCAAACAGGGGATGATGCTCAGGGAGGCCGACGAGCTGCTTTCTTGGGGAGCCAGGACCCTGCTGAGCTCTAACTGCCCCCCCCGGGCTCCCCAAGGTTGGGACAGCACGGAGTAGATGGGGTGGAGGGGCTAGAGGCACCTGGTCATTCTGGCTGCACCCCATATGCAGCTTCCCAGCAGTTTTGCCAATGAGCTCTTGGAGGTGAAGGGAGGCCCAGGGTCACAGTCTATATGCCCAGAGGAGTCAATCCAGGCAGGGCAGCTTTCATCAGCCAACCCTGCCAACCTCCCTCTCTACCCCAGCGCCCCAGGTCTTGCCCAAATCTCTCATTAATTCTGCTTAGCCCTGTTTTTTTATTTGTTCAATTTTTTTGTAGTTATGGAACCTTGTTATGTTGCCCAGGCTGGTCTCGAACTCTTGGCCTCAAGTGATCCTCCCACCTCAGCCTCCCAAAGTGCTAGGATTATAGGCATGAGCCACCGCAACCGGCCCATGTCCTGAGGTCTCCATTGCTGTCTGCCAATGGCAAAGTAAACAGAACGATGGTGCCAAAGTGGCCCAGGGTCAGGTGGAGACGGGAGGCCAGGAAAGCGGTGGGGCTGCAAGGGTCGTACCTTCAGACAGCGCTCGCTGGCTGTGTGGATGTCCTCCTCATTGGGGTTGAGTCTCAAAGTGCCCTGGGCCCACTTCTCAGTCACCTATAGCAGGTGGCAGCAATGCTTGGGGGAAGGTGAGCAGATTATCAGGAGCCAGGAGAGCCTCTGCCCTGGTCCCACCCTATCCCTCATGTCTGACTGTCCCTGTCCAGGAGCTGAGTCCTGGAAGCACACCTTGGGAGGAGGCATCTCGGGTGGGGACACCTTCACCCATGAGCCATGTGGGCATCAGGGGTAATTTAAAGGATGGAGAGAGGCAGTCATCAAGGCACAGAGTTAAACAGCACTTGAGTATATAATTAGTTCAACATGAAACCACACCCTGGCAACATTACTATTTGCTCAGGGATTTGGTGGGAGCCTGGGGCCACAGGGAGGGGCTTTGGCCATGGGGAGTACCTGGTAAGCTGCCCGTTCCTTGAGCATGATGTGTACCAAGAGGAGCTGGAATGAGGGCAGCTCCATGGGGAAGGGACAGGATTGCCATCCTGAGCTGTGTGACCTTAGGCAAGACCACTCTTCACCAAACGAGGTCAACCACACAGGTGATTTCGGGAGCCAGTGCCTGCTCCGACAGTCTGGATTTTAGCTTTGTAGGTGGATGGGAACCTGTGAGGGTTTAGAGATGCTGGGAGAACATTTTTCCTGGGAGAGCTTTCCAAACAGGGAATAAACAAAGCCACCCTCGGCCCCGCTGAGAAAGGATCCTACCAGAAGCCCTCGCCACTGTCTTGCTCCATGCTGTTGGTGATGGCGATGTCATCGATGCAGGTGGTGGGTGTCGTGAACAGAAGCACAGACTGCTGCAGTCCCGCTGAGCTGAAGTCAAAGTCTACGTTGTGGACAAAGTAACCGTTGGGATATCCAGGGTGGGAGAATTGTGGTTTGCTGGACCCTTGCTGTGGGTCCTTTAACCTCAGCTCACATGTCTGTGGCCTCCCCAGATACCAGGCCCCTCCAGTCTGCGAAGGCAAACCTGTCCGTAGGAGTAGGAAGACCACGGGGTGAGGCGGGAAGGTGGGGGCATGTGGTGGAGGCAGGGTGGTACCCACTTGCAGGTGTCGGTCATGTAGTGGATGATCCCTGGTGGCTGGATGGAGGGAGTGTGTTGTTGATGGCAATAGTGACAGGGAGGTGGGAGGGCAGGAGCCCCACCTGGACCAGGCTGCTAATGCTGGCCTTGAAAGGGAGGTAACCCCCCATGCTCTAGCATATCGACCCCGTTCACCCACTGCATACAGCGGAGATATCAGGAGGGGGTGGTGGGTCAGAGCATGAGGAGGGGCCCTGCTATCGGGCACTCCCTCATAACCTGCAGCATAGAGCTGAGGCCTGCCAGCCAGACGGGAAGAATGGCATCCCAGTGGGGTAGAGCAGGTCACCTATCCCCCTACACAGGGCACAGCCTCCAGGGCAGAGCAAGGAAGGGCCCCCCACCGTCCCATCCCAGGAGACAGGCTGTGGGTGGCACGTTGGGACTCCCATGCTGTCCGGTAGTCAAGCCCACCCACCTGCCCTACCTGCTCCTGGCTGCACTCACCACAATGGCATAGGAGTGGGCACTGCCAATCCTCAGCACCACTCTCGTGTGCAGGTCCTGGGTCCACCACTCCGGCAGGGTCACTTCGCGTTTGTACCACACCCAGCCGACAAAATGCCATAGCCGCCAGTCCTGCAAGATGTTCTTGAAGCTGGAGAAAACCTGCATGTCCAGGGTGGGGCCAGACTGCGGAGAGAAGGCCGGAGCTCAGCTCTTGGGCCCCCAAACAGATGTGGGACCAAGGTACATTCCTGCCTTGGCAGAGCTGACCTCAGGATGTCCAAACTGTCCCCTCTTTCCCATCCCCGAGTCCAGCTCTGTGCAGCACAAGCCGCTCTGGCCTGACTAGTGGGAGGAGTGTCTGGGTGGCTCATGCCTATAATCAGTTATTTGGAAGGTCAACCTAAAATGTTGGCTTGAGGCCAGGAGGTTGAGACCAGTCTGGGCAAAGTAGTGAGACCCTATATTTTAAAAAAAAGTTTTTTAAAAAAATTAGCCAGGCGTGACGGCCTCAGCTAACTTGCAAGGCTGCGGCGGGAGGATTGCTTGAGATCAGAAGTTAGGATTGCGCCACTGTGCTCCAGCCTGGGCAACAGGGCCAAGCCCGGTCTCAAAAAATGTTTTAAAAATAATAAACATAAAAAAAAAAGGACACTCCCCGGGCTCAGCCCTCGCCTCGGGAGGGAGCTTGGCAGGGGCGCTTCCTCCTCCTTCCGCCTCCTCCCCCGACCCCCGGGCGCCCAGGGCTCCCCCACTCCCTCCACCGGGCTTCCGCGCGCCTCCCGGCCCTGCCCCGAGCACCGCAGCAGCGGCCGCTACCACTGCTCCTGGAAGCCCTGGCGCCGGTCGTCGGCGCGGAAGCTCCAGAATCCGCCCAACTCTTTGCGCTTCCGCGATGCGCTCTCCCTGGGGCACAGTATCCCGCCCTGCAGCGCCAGCGCGCAACCACACACCAGCCGCTCAGGCCGCCGCCGGCCCGGAAGCCAGGCTGCCCACTCTGCCGCTCGGCTTCCGGCTGCGGTGATTAATAGAAGCGCGGGAGGAGGCGGGTGGCCGTGTCGCTTGATGTACTGAGGCCGTCGGTGCCATGTTTGTTGAGGGCGAGTGCTAGGTCTGGAGGGGAGGAGGGTCCGGGCACTACTGGGTGGGGCCAAGGGCTGGGAACCCCGGGCTAGGCCTTTGGCGAAGTTGGACCCTCACACGCAGCCCCAGTGAAGAAGGGCGAGGTCTTCTCCCCGCTCCCGTCCAGGTTGGACGATGCAGGGCGGCAGGCCAGGACAGAATCCATGAGATCTGGGATTCCCCAGTTTCGTCTAGGAGCACCTCCACTTGCTTTCCCCAGCGCGACTCCGCCAAGCAGACCCCAGCGGAACCTCTTCCATGCCTGCCCGGTGCAGCGATGGCTCTCGCCTGTAATCCCAGAACTTTGGGAGGCAGAGGTTGGTGGATCGCTTGAGGCCAGTCTGGCCAACATGCCGAAAACCGATCTCCACTTAAAAAAAAAAAAAAAAAATTAGCTGGGCATGGTGGTGCATGCCTGTAATCCCAGCTACTTGCGAGGCTGAGGTAAGAGAATCACTTGAACCAGGGAGGCGGAGGTTGCAGTGAGCTGAGATGTCACCATTGCACTCCAGCCTGGGTGCACTCCTGCCTCAGCCTGCCAAGTAGCTGGGATTACAGGCCCGAGCCACCACGCCCGGCTGATTTATTGTATCTTCAGTAGAGACGGAGGTTTCACCATGCTGGCCAGGCTGGTCTCGAATTCCTGACCTCGTGATCCGCCCGCCTCGGCCTCTCAAAGTGCCGGGATTACAGGCGGGACCCACGGCCTGTAATTTTCCGCCATCTTTTTTTTTTTTTTTTTTTTTGAGACGGAGTTTCGCTCTTGTTGTCCAGGCTGGCATGCAATGGCGCGATCTCGGCTCACCGCAACCTCCGCCTCCTGGGTTCAGGCAATTCTCCTGCCTCAGCCTCCTGAGTAGCTGGGATTACAGGGACGCGCCACCATGCCCAGCTAATTTTTTGTATTTTTAGTAGAGACAAGGTTTCACCATGTTGCCCAGGCTGGAGTGCAATGGCTATTCACAGGCGCAATTACACTACTGATGAGCATGGAAATTTTGACCTGCTCCGTTTCCAGCCTGGGTGGGTTCACCCCTCCTGAGGCAACCTGGTGTTCCCCTGCTCCTGGGAGGTCACCATATTGATGCCGAACTTGGTGCGGACACCTCACTGGCATAGTGCACTACAGCCCAGAACTCCTGGGCTCAAGCGATCCTCCCACCACAGCCTCCCGAGTAGCTGGGACTACAGGCACGCACCACCGCGCCCAGTGAAGAAGCTTCATTGTTTTGAAGTTCTCCTCCTTAGGGTTTTGTTTTATTTTATTTTAATTTATTTATTTTTTTTTTTTTGAGAAGGAGTTTCGCTCTTATTACCCAGGCTGGAGTGCTATGGCGGGATCTTGGCTCACCGCAACCTCCGCCTCCTGGGTTCAGGCAATCCTCCTCCCTCAGTCTCCTGGGTAGCTGGGACCACAGGCACGCGCCACAATGCCCAACTCATTTTTTGTATTTTGTTCTTTTTAGTAGAGACAGGGTTTCACCATGTTGACCAGGATGGTCTCGATCTCTTGACCTTGTGATCCACCTGCTCGGCCTTCCAAAGTGCTGGGATTACAGGCGTGAGCCACCACGCCCGGCGGTTTTTTGTTTTTTTGAGACAAGATTTTGGTCTGTCACTCAGGCTACAGTGGAGCAATCATAGCTCCTGGGCTCAAGGGATCCTCCTTACTCTGTTCCACCGAAACACTGGGATTACAGGCGTAAACCACCATACCCGGCTGGGTTTTTGAATTGTTTATTTATTTTTATTATTATTTTTTAAAGATGGGGTTTCTCCACAATGGCCAGGCTGGTCTTGAACTCCTGACCTCAGGTGATCCACCCACCTCGGCCTCCCAAAGTGCTAGGATTACAGGCGTGAGCCACCACACCCAACCTTTGAATAGTTTTCTTAATTTTTAATTTAATTTTAACATGTCTATATTTTTTGAGATGGAGTCTTGCTCTGTCACCCAGGCTGGAGTGTAGTGGTGGGATCTCAGCTCACTGCAACCTCCTCCCTCCAGATTAAAGGAATTCTCCTGCATCAACTTCCCAAGTAGCTAGGACTACAGGTGCGTGCCACCACACTCAGCTAATTTTTTTTTTTATTTTTAGTAGAGACAGTATTTCGCTATGTTAGCCAGGATGGTCTCGATCTCTTGACCCCGTGATCTGCCCACCTCAGCCTCCCAAAGTGCTAGAATTACAGGTGTGAGCCACTGGACCAGGCCTTTTTTTTAAAATTTGTTTTAAAAAAATTTAGACGGAGTCTTGCTCTGTCACCAGGCTGGAGTGCAGTGGCACAATCTCGGCTCACTGCAACCTCTGCCTCCTGGGTTTAAGCGATTCTTCTGCCTCAGCCTCCCAAGGAGCTGGGACCACAGGCTGGTGCCACCGTGCCCAGCTAATTTTTGTATTTTTAGTAGAGATGGGTTTTAACATCTTGGCCAGGCTAGTCTCAAACTCCTGACCTCATGATTCACCTGCCTCGGCCTCCCAAAGTGCTCGGATTATAGCCATGGGCCACCATGCCCCACCTTGAAGATTTTTTATGTTTCTGATAACAATAATTCTGGGCCGTGAAAGTGGCTCATGCCTGTAATCCCAGCACTTTGGGAGGCCAAGGCGGGTGGATCACAAGATTAAGAGATTGAGACCTTCCTGGCCAACATGGTGAAACCCTATCTCTACTAAAAGTACCAAAATTAGCTGGGCATGGTGGAGCATGCCTATAGTCCCAGCTATTCAGGAGGCTGAGGCTGGAAAATCGCTTGAACCCAGGAGATAGAGGTTGCACTGAGCCAAGATCGCACCACTGCACTCCAGGCTGGGGACCGAGCAAGGCTCCATCTCAAAAAAATAAAATAAAGTATAACAATAATTCTTTGGACAGATATTTTTCTAATTTTATTTTATTATTTAACGTTTATTTATTTACTTACTTTTGAGACAAAGTCTGTTTGTTTCCCAGGTTGGAGAGCAGTGGCACAATCCCGGCTCACTGCAACCTCCACCTCCAGAGCTCAAGGGGTTTTCCTGCCTCAGCCTCCTGAGTAGCTGGGATCACAGATGTGCACCCCTACACCCTGCTAATTGTTTTTGTATTTTTAGGTGAGCAAGGGTTTCACCATGTTGGCCAGGCTGATCTTGAACTGCTGACCTCAAGTGATCTGCTCGTCTTGGCTTCCAAAGTGCTGAAATTACAGGCGTAAACCACTGGACCCAGTCCTTAACTTTTATTTTAAATTCAGGGGTACATGTGCAGGATGTGCTGGTTTGTTACATAGGTAAATGAGTGTCACGGGGCCCTGTTGTACAGATTGCTTAATCACCTGGGCATTAAGCATAGTATCCATTCATAAATTTTACTGATTCTCCCCCTCCTCCCACCCTCCCTCCTTTTCTCATTTTATGGATTAGAAAACTAAAGACCAGCCGGGCGCAGGCTCATGCCTGTAATCCCAGCACTTTGGGAGGCTGAGGCGGGCAGGTCACGAGGTCAGGAGATTTAGACCATCCTGGCCAACATGGTGAAACCCCGTGTCTACTAAAAATACAAAAAAATTAGCTGGGCATAGTGGCACGTACCTGTAATCCCAGCTGCTCAGGTGGCTGAGGCAGGACAATTGCCTGAACCCAGGAGGCAGGAGGTCGCAGTGAGCCCAGATCACGCCATTGCACTCCAGCCTGGGTAAACAAGAGCAAAACTCCGTCTGAAAAAAAAAAAAAAAAAAAAAAAAAAGCCGGGCGCGGTGGCTCAGGCCTGCAATCCCAGCACTTTGGGAGGCTGAGGTGGGTGGATCACGAGGTCAAGAGATCGAGACCATCCTGGTCAACATGGTGAAACCCCGTCTCTACTAAAGACACAAAAAATTAGCTGGGCATAGTGGCGCGTGCCTGTAATCCCAGCTGTTCAGGAGGCTGAGGCAGGAGAATTGCCTGAACCCAGGAGGCGGACGTTGCCCTGAGCCGAGATCGCGCCATTGCACTGCAGCCTGGGTAAACAAGAGCGAAACTCCGTCTCTGAAAGAAAAAAGAAAAAAAAAAAAAAAAAAAAAAAAAAAGCTGGGCGCAGTGGCTCATGCCTGTAATCCCAGCACTTTGGGAGGCTGAGGCGGGTGGATCACGAGGTCAAGAGATCGAGACCATCCTGATCAACGTGGTGAAACCCCATCTCTACTAAAAATACAAAAAATTAGCTGGGCATAGTTGGGTGTGCCTGTTATCCCAGCTGCTCAGGAGGCTGAGGCAGGAGGATTGCCTGAACCCAGGAGGCGGAGGTTGCGGTGAGCCGAGATCGCTCCATTGCACTCCAGCCTGGGTAACAAGAGCAAAACTCCATCTCAAAAAAACAAAAAAGAAAAAAAAAAGCCGGGCGCCATGGCTCACGCCTGTAACCCTAGCACTTTGGGAGGCCGAGGCGGGTGGATCACGAGGTCAAGAGATCAAGACCATCCTGGTCAACATGGTGAAACCCCGTCTCTACTACGAATACAAAAAATTAGCTGGGCATGGTGGCGCATGCCTGTAATACCAGTTACTCAGGAGGCTGAGGCAGGAGAATTGCCTGAACCCAGGAGGCGGAGGTTGCAGTGAGCCGAGATCGCGCCATTGCACTTCAGCCTGGGTAACAAGAGCGAAACTCTGTCTCAAAAAAAAAAAAAAAAGAAAAGGGAAGAAAAAAAAGTGCATGGCTTCTTACCTTAGTTGTTAAATGGACAACTAGTCCATCTCTGCTGGTTGACCAGAGGCCATGATCTGGATGTTTATAACTCTTGGGAGAAGTCTATCAAGTTAATTATGACACTTTTTATTTTTATTTTTGTAATTATGACATTCTTAAATCCCTAATCTTAGAAGTGAATTCCAACATCTCACAAATTG